TTCTTCTATAACTTTGCTGGATAAAGTATGCTTGGCTGACAATTTTTATCTTTCAATATTTTGAATATATCATACCACTCTCTCCTGGTCTATAGAATTCTGCTAAGAAATCTGCTAATAAGCTTAATTGTGGTTCCCTTGTAGGTTATTGTTTTTCTCCCCCTGGCTGCTTTTTATATTCTTTCTTTGTCATTGAATTTTGACAGTTTTATTGTCATGTGTCTTGGAGAGGTCTTTTTGCATTGATATAATTGGGTGTTCTATTAGCTTCTTGGATTTCCATATCTAGTTTTTTCCTGAAGTTTGGGAAGTTCTCAGCTATTATTTCTTTAAATAAGCTCTCTGCTCCCTTCTCTCTTCCTCTTCTGGGATACCCATTATTCTCATATTGGCCTTTCTAATGGAGTTGGATAATTCTCGTAGAATTTTGTCTTTTGAAAAGACTTTGTTCTCTCTCCTCTTCTACCTGCATCATTTCTAGGTTTCTATCTTTGAGTTCACTAATTCTGTCTTCCATATGGTCTGCTTGATTTCCAATGCTTTCTACTTTATTCTTGATCTCATTTATTGAGTTCTTCAGCTCCTCAACTTCTGTTTGGTTCTGTTTTAGAGTTTCAATCTCTTTGGTAAAGTTTTTCTTCTGTTGATTAATTTTATTCCTGAGCTCATTGAACTGCCTTTCTGAGTCTTCTTGTAGCTTTTTGAGTTTCTTCATAACAGCTACTTTGAATTCTTTGCCAGTTAGATCACAATCTTTCATGACTTGTTGTTTGGTTTCTGGTGAATTGTTATTTATTTATTTTTTGATGCCACATTACCACGGCTCTTCTTGTTGCTTGATGAGTTATTCCTCTGTTGGCACATTTATTGTAGGGAACACTTTTTAAATTTAGGTATAGCTTTGTTTGTTTTGATTCTAACTATTCAACCGATTGGAGAGTAGAGGCCTTTTTTTTTGTTTTTTTTAGTAGGTGATGCTATATCAACAGTTTTTGGTTTCTCTTACCTGAGCTGCCTCTGGCTATATTTGGTGGTTGGCAGTTTCCACCCTCCATCACCTCTATTAGGGGTGTCGCTGGTACTCTTGTCATCACTGCCTGCGCTTCTGGGGGGTCACTGATGCCTTGTTCCCAGTGTTGCTGCAGTCGTTGGCTTTGTTACTGGGGGTATAGGGATGGCTGATGCCTCTGCCGTGTCTGGGATCACTTGGGACTGAACCACTGCCGTGGTGGTGGGAGAAGGGGGAGAGTGGGGAGTGAGCTGGATTGTTGGGTAACGTCTCTACTGTTGCTTGTTTCCTTGTGGCTGCATGCACCACTGTGTTTGGGAGGCTGTTTCCATGTGCGCACCTCCACTGCTGTTACCAGGCTCTGAGTTATGGCGTGGGGCTCCACCTTTGTTGCTACTTTGCCCCCCATGGCTGCAGGTGCTGCCATGACTGGAGGGCTGGAGTTGTTTGCGTGCCTCCTCTGCTGTTCACTGGATTCTCTGAGGCTGGGGTGACTGGCTCAGCTACCGTGGCTGAAGGGACAGGATCCTGGGCACTGCCTCTGCTTTTCCTCCAGTTCACCTCCTCTTTGTGCTCCAAACCACCCACCTTCATATGTACCAACGTCTTGGTGTGTTTGGCAGTGTAGCCTTTGTTGGGTTATCGATGCTTTATTTGCTGTAAATTGAAGGGGAGAGACATAGGGATCCTCTCCCACTGCCATGATGCTAGTGTCTTCTTCCCTTCATTTTGTTTCTTTCACTTTTGATATCTGAGTTAATAGAATATGTAACTCTTAGTTACCTTTTCCATTTCAATGAGTTTTAGTGTAATAACAATGGAATGTCCTGCTGTGTTTTTGGTGTTATTTGCTTTTAAAAAATTATTTGTTTTTAATTTAATTTTTATTAAAGTTGTTTATATTTGCAAATAGTTCATAGAGTTAAAGTTTTCTACAAAACTTGTTTTTAAAAAAAATTAAAAAGCAATATCGAAAACCCATAGTCCTTTGTTTCTCTTCTATATCATGTTCTCTAGAAGCGAACTACTTTCAGTTCTTTTAAATGATTGTTTGGTATTTACTCTAATCTCTGAATAACATAATTGTGTAGCTACTTCTTGGTTTTTTAGTGCTGGCCATTAACTGTGGAGTTTATAGAATGGAAGATAATGGTTTAGTTTCTTTTTACTCTGTGTACCGCGATCCTCCTTGAGTGTTTGTATGCCCCCTACTCCCTTTTAAAAATATTTTACTGTCATTTCAGTGGAGTTTCAGGAGAAAGTGTAGCTTAATGCATCGTATGTATCAGCCATATTTAACTAGAAGTCCTCATTTACCAATTGTAATGAGAGATTGGAGAGGTAGATAAATTGGAAAAGAAGGGAGGTTGATGCCAGTGGATATGGAAGTGGGGAAAGGTGTGATGATACTGTTGATTGCATTTCTGTCCATTTAAGATGGTGCTTTTAACAGGGTATCACTGCCGCAGTTGCCTGCTACTTCTCACTTCTCCTTAGCCTATGCCTTTTTATGATTCTAACAAGTAGATAAGTGGAATGAGGGCATTTATTCTCAGACTAGGCACAGCAAGCTAAAATGTAAGCAAAACTTGCTGTGCTGGAGCTCCTAAAACAATAAAAATGAAAAACCTGCAAAAGTTTGACAGAGCAAAATATCCTTTTGAAGACGATACAAATTTTCAGTAGTACAGGCCATATCTTGTTGCCTTTTCTTTTAATTAATGTCTTCCCTCTGTTAGATTCAAGAATATTTAAGGAAGAAAACCACGCAGTACCTGTACTCATGAAGTATGTAATCTAGCAGGAAAGATGCTGCTGCTGTCAGTTACTAATGTGATGAGTGCTGTGAGAGAGAAGTTCAAGGTTCACTGGGAGCCTATGATGGGGAGACTAAACTTGGTGGAGGCCAAGGAAGATGTTACTGTGGAAGTGATGCGAAATCTGAGGTTTGAAGGATAAATAGGATTTAACTCAGTGGAGGATGAGTTTGGCAAATGAGAGGAGGCAGTGTTCTAAGCAGAGAGAAGAGCATGTTGGAAGGTTCAAGGCAAGGCCCCCTTCAAGGACTGAAAATAAGACATATATTGTTGAAGTATACAGGACAAAAGTGAGATTGGCACCTGGTGAGGCTAGAATATTTTAAGGCAGATTACAAGCTATAAAAGTGTAGGCAGTGGGATGATATAATTAGGTTTCTGTTTTTAAAAAGATTACTATATCACCTGAGGATATCATGAATTCAGTTTTGATCTTGTTGCATTTGAAATCACTTTGAAATATCTAAGAGCAAATAGCAGGAAGATTTTGGAGTCTCTAGGTGAGGTCTGGGTTAGGGGTAAAAATATGGTAGGTTTTTATAATGTCTGTGATAATTTATATTGTAGAGTTGAAGGGGAGACCTAGATCCATAGAGTGAGAAGAGAGCTGGACTAAGCATTTGATAGAGCTAGTATTTAATGGTCAGCTAGAAGAGGATATTCCAGCAAGATGACTGAAAAAGAGCAGCCAGAAAGATGAGAGAAGTCATGATGGTATAGGGCATACTGGAATGAAAGAGCAGCATGTTTCTGGAAGGAGAAAGTAGTTAAATTCTATCACATGGTAATGAGAGGGAAATAAGGACTGAAAAATATATCAAAGGAACTCAGAGTTGCTTATGGGTATTTTTCCCTGCTGAAATAGGGCAGCTTTTTTAAAGAGAATGTTTCAGGGGAAGTGGTGGGATTTTTGTGTGGCAGTGATGGGGAAAAATCACTGGTCAGACAGTTAATGGCAGTTGTGAGACTAGGTAAGTAAAGGACTGCCGATTATAAGCACAGTAGGTTGTCTACGGCATGTGGATAAAATGCCCAAGTATTTATGGGCTTTGTGTCTGGTCATATATTATTATAGCTACTAATAATTCCCGTAAAAATAATACCTATCAATAAAAATTAAGCACCTTCTCTGTGCCAGTGTTCTCTATGTACTTTCTTAATATTATTTTGAATATTCTTGCATAGTGTTATTCCCATTTTTTATGTGAATAACGTGAATCTTAGACTAGATTTAGCCGAGTAGTTTATGCAGGGTCTCACAGCTTTCAGTTATGGAATTGTGCTTCAGCCTCAGTTCTGGCTCCAATGCCCCTGCCTTGTAATAATAACAATTATAGCCCTTGTCATTTACTACCTACTTACTGTAGAAGAATGAATGTCCCTAACGGGATGCAGCATTTTTCCATATGTCTATCTGAAATATCTTAGTTTAATTTTTTTATTTTTTAGTCCTTAGCCTTGTAAGGGAATTGGCCAGGATCATCCTCATAAAAACTCATAATCTGTGATCTGTGTGATGCTATCCTTGTGTACATTCCTCTTGATGTTTTTTCTCTTTTGCTCCTGGTGGTAAGTGGTATAGAGTAGTTCTGTATTTTGCAAATGTCAGTGCAGCACCATGTTACTGACACCTTGTAAAGGTATATTATCAACATGAATCAGGCGTATTTCCTCTTATTTATTTATGAAAATATTTATGAACATGTAAAACAAGATTTCTTAATTTATATTTGAATTGGAATCACCTGCGGGTGTTTTTCCTAAACTAGGCTTGGCTGGCCATCGCTGGTAATTTTGATTTAGTAGGTCTGTGGCAGGCCCATGTGCATTTTGTAAAAGCTTCCCAGGGTGATTTTGATTTTTTTAATACTTATTTGATTGATTTTTGCATAGTTTTTTTGATTTATTGTCCATTCTGATATTTTAAATCGGGAAAACTAATAGGAAAATAAATTACACATCCTAAAAATGTCTCATTTGTCTTGTAAGTGTGCACATACATACAAGAAAACAAACACACCCCCCCACCGATACATACATACTCACTGTCTCTTTAACCACTCTCTCCCTGTCTCTGTCCCTGTCTCTCTGTCTCTGTCTGTCTCTCATTCACAAAATTATAATTTTTCCCTGCATTCCAGTAAGTTATTAATTGTTCCTTTTGTGCTTTGCAGAATGGTGGTTGAACCAAGTCTCCAGGATGAAAGTGAATTCTTGTATGCTGCCCAGCCTGAGTTACTGAGGTACAGAACAAGCCAGCTTACAGTAGAGAAGGCTGTGGACTGGTATCAGACCAGAGCAGAGGAAATAGAGCATTATGCCCGACAGGTGAGGGGAAAGTGACATCTGCTGCTCAGTGCTGCAGCGAGGCTGTGTGGGATCCTTAGGATCTAGTGCATGTAGTGGCTGCTGACAGTGCTGCCAGGGATCATATATATGGTTTGCAAGGGATGAAATGAATATTTCTTATTACTTTTGTTCATTTATTCTTTGCCTCAGAAGCTTTTGTGTCTTTTTTTTCTTAATTCTTAAAGAGCAAATACATACAAGAAAAGTTGTTCAAAAGCTTTCTTTAAAATATAAGCTGCAAGATACAGTATATATTGTCCTAGATTTTCTGCATATTTTTAATAGGCTTAGTACCATATTAATTTAAAAGATTTATATCAACCTAGAAATGCTTGACTAGTCCCTTGTCATATTGTAGTAGTGTAGTAGATTGTAATTTTTCTTTTCAGGCGCCCTGTTCGAGGCTCTGTTTCTAGTGTTTTCCTTAAAGTCCAAGCCTAATTTTCCTCAGTTTCCGTGTGCCTGTACTGAGATGCATCAGAGAGGGAGTATGGAAGGGAGAGATGAGGATGATATTGAAGCTTAGGATATCTGAATACTAATCTCGACTCTTCCACTAACAGACCTATTGACTCTGGACCTGCTACCTACCTTTTCTGTACCTTGGTTTTCTCATGGGGTTAGTTCTTGTACTAGAGTCAGTGAGCACAAAGGAAACATGCAGGAGATAACATTAAAAAATTCTGCTAATCGAGTGCTTTGCAAATATAAGGAATAGTTATCTTCATCTTAGAGAACAGAAGTTGGTTATTCAGAGCCAAGAATGGCAGAATGCACTTTGAAATCTCATTCAGGGTCTGGCCAGTGGATGACTTTTTCTTTCTACTCACAGTCTTGGTTTTGGACCACCTCTCCTACTATCAGTTTTTCATTTGACAGGAAGGGTGATTCCAGAGGGTCTGATGAGCAGCAGTACTGTGGGAAGGAATATGTACCCTTTGTTTAAATTTCTGCTTAGTGTGTCTGGCACAGCCCCATGGCTCCAGTTGATAGTCTTGAATTCCTGTTTAATCTAATTCCTATTTTCAGTATTCATAGAATTGAAGATGAATTATTTGCTGAAGTTGATGGGAATATTATAAACCAAACTTTTTGGAGGATGGCCAAGAATATTTATGATCGACTTTCCAGGTTTTTGAAGATGGCTAAGGACCATAGTATATTTGAAAATGTTTAGAATCCCAAGCTATCATAATGAAAAGAATCTCTGGAGATGATCTAGTCTAATTCTCTCTGTTATAGATGAAAAAACTAAGGTTCACAGAAAGGAAAGTGAGCAACTTGTGCACGGACACAGTGGCAGAGCCAGACAAAATCCAGGTCTCTGTATAATCTTTCTTATAGAGTCCATATAAGAATAGACAATTACACAAATCTTAATGACTGAGAGCAAAATAAATTAATCTAAACAAAAGTGGTTCTCAATTTTCAGACCCCATAGTATCTTTTTTTGTAGCAAATATTTTGTCATGCTTCCTGCTTATCCGGATGTGAAAATCATAGACAATTCTTATTTACAAAAGCAATTTCCAAAAAAGTTAATATTATGACTTAACTTCAATATCTAGAATAAATAAAATATGTAAATGTTTGATCATGACTACACTAGGAAGTAATCAATGAGAAATCACTTTGAATGAGACAACTGAAATAGCAGACAGATTCAGGTATGTTGTATTGTTGAGTCAAATACCACAAATTGCTATCTGGAATGCGAACAGCTTGTGGTAAAATTTTTAACAAAACAAAGTAAAATCTTCCCTCTATTATACTGTATCTGCGTTCCCAGAAAATTCAGTGTAAGTTAAACCATACAAAATAGAATTTTGTGTAAATGTTAAATGAAGTTGAGATCTATCTAGACTCTGACCACTGTAACTTGGTTTTCAGGACATTTGAAGGGTAGACAGGAATGGGGACAAGTTGGTTTTCCTGGACTGCCCCACACCTTACAGGACTTCTAGCATTCCTGGCTTCCACCCACTCAGAGTCAGTAGGTCCCACTAATTCCTGTGATGGACAGAAATGTCTCCTCAGATTTTCAGAATGCCTCCTGGTGGAAAGTTTTGCCATCGAGAACTGTAGTCTTAGACCAGTATCATGCACCTGGAAATGACCAGTTCATATTGGTCACATAAGCAAAGGCATTATTACTTTGCCAATACAGAAGAAACTCACTTGGTAATAATTGATGAAGAAAGCTCTCAAGTGAGCTAGTGAGGCACGTTTTTGTACAGGCAAATGTAGGTTATGTAACATGCATCTACACATTTTTTAAGACTCCAGTGGCATCATATGATTTACTGAAATTGTGCAAATGGATGTAGTTTACTGTTGTCTCTGGCTAACAAGAAAAAGGATCATGTTTTATGGATCAATTTTGTCTGAGCACTTTGTGGTTTCTTAGCTTAACTTCTAGATACAGCTTTTGGAGAGTAACGAGAAAAGTGTATATGTGTGTGTGTATTTATATACACATTTAAAAAAACTGATTTCTAGGTGGTTCTGTCAATTGAGCTAGGAATGAGAATTCAGAAAATTTTTCATGCCTTTAAAAAGTCCTGGGCAACCAGCCTCATGCATTTCAAAAGATCAGTAATGACTCTTCAATTTTTATTGTTTAAATATTTTGTAACCCAAATTTTAATCATTATTCAGGTTTTTAAGAATAGCAGTAACAAAAAGAGAAAAAGGGCCACACTGGAATGCAAAGTAAATTATTTTTCTTACACTAATCTGTTCTTATTTATTTGTTTATTTTATATACTTTAGTTTTAGAGGAGTTTTAGGTTTATAGAAAAACTGAGTAGAAAGTACAGAGAGTTGGGCCAGCCCCGTGGCTTAGCGGTTAAGTGCGTGCGCTCTGCTGCTGGCGGCCCGGGGTTCGGATCCCGGGTGTGCGCTGACGCACCGCTTCTCTGGCCATGCTGAGGCCGCGACCCACGTACAACAACTAGAAGGATCTGCAACTATGACGTACAGCTATCTACTGGGGCTTTGGGGAAGAAATAAATAAATAAATAAATAAGAAAGATTACCTTTAAAAAAAAAAAAAAGAAAGTACAGAGAGTTCCCATATTCCCCGCCTCATCTCCCCCCATTTATCTCCTCCCTATCAGTTATCCCTATTATTATTAACATCTTGCATTTGAGTGTACCTTTGTTACAGTTGATGAACCAAGATGTCCTTTAGTAGGTGAATGGATAAATAAACTGTGGTACATCCATACAATGGAATATTATTCAATGCTAAACAACAAGTAAGCTATGGAGGGACGGTAAATGCATATTGCTCAGTGAAAAGACAATCTGAAAAGGCCACATAAGGTATGATTCCATCTATATGACGTTTTGGAAAAGGCAAAACAATAGAGACAGCAAAAAGATCAGTGGTTGCCAGGGGTTGGTGGGGGAGGGTTGAATAGGTGGAGCACAGAGGATTTTTAAGGCAGTGAAATACTCTGTACAATACCATAATGGTGAATACATGTTGTACATTTATCCAAACCCATAGAATGTACAACACCAAGAGTGAACTCTAATGTAATCTATGGACTTTAGGTGATTATGATGCATCAGTATGGGTTCGATTATAACAAATGTACCACTCTTGTGGGGGATGTTGATAATTCAGGAGGTTGTGCATATGTGGGCCCAGGGGGTATATGGGAAATCTGTATTTCCTGCTCATTTTTGCTATGAACCTAAAACTGCTCTAAAAAATAAAGTCTATTAAAAACAAACCATAGAGCTTTCTGAAATGGAAATTTTTTAACAGTCTAGAAATAATTCCTAGACATCTTGAATTTTTTTTTGAGTAATTAGGAATAATTATAAAGAAAGACAAGTGATTTTGGGGTGCTTTATTTAGCTGGTTTGTGTTCTTTCATCTCTTTCATTTATTTAAAAACACTAAGAGGTGTTGTTTAGCTTCATTTTAGATATTGATGTTTCATGTGGCTTATGCTACAATCGAAGTGATATCTGACATGGTTTTATCTTTTTTACTTTTAGAGGTTTAACTGATGTGAGATTTCTTTTTCCTTAGTGTCTACAAATGCCTTTAATAAAACTTGGTTGTTGGTTTAGGAGTAGTGTACAGTGGTGAAATTTATCCAGTAAGGGCTTGGGGTATGTGGTATAATTCTGTGAGTTGCATTAGATCCTACTTTCATTTAAGGTGTCAGTAATTTGATTTTAAAACATTTTTACTTCAGTAGGTATTTGGGAAGGTAACAAATTCAAAGTTGGTATTAAAAAATGAATCTGGATCACAGAATTGGTGAGTGTATTACAAATTGCTAAGGTATATATGTTCAAACATTACTTGCACAAAGTTATGTTTTATGCGTCAAGTTTTCTTCATTCTTTCTGAAAATTCACCTGAGATAAGAGTTTTTTTTGTTTTGTTTTTTGTTTTTTTTAATTTTTTGTTTATTGCAGTAACATTGGTTTATAACATTGTAAAAATTTCAGGTGTACATCATTATACTTCTGTTTCTGCATAGATTACATCATGTTCACCACCCAAATACTAATTACAACCCATACTGAATTATCCCTTTCACCCTCCTCCCTCCCCCCTTCCCCTCTGGTAACCACCAATCCAATCTCTGTCTCTATGTGAAGAGTTTTTTTTTTTTAAATTGGTATACAAGTAGATGTATCCTTTCAGACATGAATTTTATTTTAATTACTAGACATTAAGTTAAAAACATTTATCTCTTGAAGTTTTACCAGATCCCTCCTGTTTGCCTTATGCCTTACGTACCTGTAGTTTTTCCCCTTATAGTTATTTGTGCCACTCTTTCCCACTGCAAGTGCATTTCTTCTTTTGTCACCTTGTCTTCACCTGTCAGTCTCTGGGTCTTTGAAGGGCTTTGGGTGGTCCTTGAATATCGCTTGGCTTTTTTTCTTTGCGTTACCTGGCTGTCCCTCTCCCCCTCCTCTACTCCTTGCACCCCACCACCTCCTCATCCTTCTCAGAGAAGATTTTGCTTTGTATTTCACTGGGAAATTTGAGAATTCACTTCCATTTGCCCTTACTCTTCCCAGTTTTTCCCAGAGGAGGAGGTCTTTCTTCTTGCGTTCAGGCTGCTTGCTTTCTTTACCTGTACCCTGGATTCCACACTCCCACTGCTCAGGATTGTTCTGTCAGTCGCCTGTTCTCTCTCTCCTGTAGCTTCAACCTCTCCTTTTCTACTGTTATTACCTTTTTTTGGACATATCAAGTTCAAATCACTCCTATTTTATAAATACAAAAAAAAAATTAGAGCCATATTCTCCCTGGCTTCTGTTTTAGTTGTCTTCTTTCCATCATAGCTCAGCTTGGAAATAGTCTCTCTGCTCTTTGTAACTACTTTCTCAATGTTTGCTTACTCCTCATTTCCCTGGAGCCTGGCTACTCTTGCTACTCTACTGACGCTGCGTCAGTGAGGCTCCCAGTCTGCCTCTTAGTGTTGATTCCCTTCATTTGTTACTTAACAGCGTTGTCCTTTGACACTACTGCTGCTGCTTTCCTGGAATCTCTTCTACTTAGCCTTCTGTGATAGAATTTTCACTTTTTTCTTTGTCTTTGTCTTAGCCATTCATTTTAGTCTCCTCTGTGTGGCTCCTGTTCTTCGGGTTGTCCCTTAAATATTGCTGTCCCCCATTCTGGTAATTGCAGTTCTCCTAAGTAGCCTGCCTGTTTTCAGTCCAGTCCATTTCCAGTTCGTCATTCACATTTCATTTGTCATTCAATAAATACTTACTAATATTCTTTCCAAAGTGTCTAAATCTATTTATGAAATGCCTTAGATGAAAATCCTTTGGTAGTATTTGCATTTCAGGATACACTGCAAATTCCTTAGCTCAGCAAACAATATTCTTTATTATCTGGCTCCTCCTTGCTACTCTACCCATGTTTCTCATCGCTTCACTTCATACGTTCTTTTCAGTCTTCTGGAACTAACTGTACTTTCACCACACATTATGCACCTCTGCCTTCCATGCTGGGCTCCTGCCCTCCTTCTTTCTTCACCTACTAATATCCATTGATTCTTTAAATTGCATTTTAGTGTTCCCCCCTCTGGGAGACTGTGACACTCTCATGTTGAGCTACATGCCCTTTTCTTTGAGATCCCAGTCATCCACAGCACCTGCCTCACTCTACTTCAATCATGGCTTTATTGGATTGTGTCTCCCTACGAGATGGAGAGATCTTTGAAGGAAGACACCTCATCTCATTCAGTTTTATATTCCTAACACTTAGAATGGTGCTTAGGCTTAGTTCACAGTAGCTCCTCAATCAACAGTTGTTAGTCTAGGACTAAGGGAGTAATTAAGGAGTGGGAGGAGACACTCTGCATTAAGGCCACATTAGATGATTTTGCCCTCAATCAGAATATGTCATTTCATAAACCTGATCAAGTGATAGGAGTCAAATTGCTGTGTACTGAGCATCTATAGGAAAATTGTTGTTCATTTTAGTGTAAGCGATGTCTAAATATTTGAATTGAGACAGACGTGTCCCACAGAGTTAGTCATTCAGCAAGTATTTATTGAATGCCTTCTGTATGGGAGGCACTGTGGAAGGATAGGTACTGAACAGGAATATAAAAGCCAAACATTCTTTTTGCAGCAGAGTGGTATTGTGAAAGTAGTATTAATTTGGCATGATCACTCACTAGCTATGTTTTTTTTCCCCTGCCTGTTAATGTTGTGAGAATTATATAGATAAGTATATGTAAAACTGCTCTGTAAATTGCAATGCTCCATGAAGTTAAGATGGTTGTCTTTCTCTTATTGTCTTCAGTATTTCTTGCTGATGGTTTGATTCTTTTGATACAGTTTAATGCTGATATATTTGATAAAGAATTCTAAGGTTTTTGTACTAAATAAAAAATGTATGTTACTGATAATGCGATTTTATATAAAATCATTCCAAGAATTGGATTCTGTGCTGGAGGCTTTTACTTTAGAATATATGGAAAAGATGTAATACTCAGAGACTTACTGTGACTTTTCCATTTTAGATTGACTGTGCATTGTCACTTATTCGACTTGGAATGGAGCGGAACATTCCTGGTTTGCTGGTTCTATGTGATAATCTGGTTACTCTGGAAGCATTGGTTTATGAAGCCGGCTGTGATTTAACTCTAACCTTGAAAGAACTTCAGCAGATGAAAGACATTGAAAAACTAAGATTACTGATGAATAGTGTAGGTTTTTTTAAACTTTCTTTTTAAGCATTCCTTACGTACTTTGATTAATGTTGTCTCAAAGCCAAAGATGAAATATCCTCCAAACCTGAGAACTTAGTAAATAAAGGAAGGTTTCTTTAAAAAAATAAATCAAATTTTATGAGTAAATTACTGAAGGCATTCATAACCATTTTGGCTGTTTTTGTACCTTGCTTGCTCTTTATTCATACTCCTCTGTATATGACATTTTGTTTTCCTTCTAGCTAAACATGATTCTAAACTAGCTGTCATTCTAGTAATCACGTTTCTAATCCTTCGGTGTATTAGAATTCCCAAATCCTTATATATGTCAAGGTCTTAAAGAAAAAACGTACTGGAGTTCAGAGGGCTGGTTGGGTGGTTGTGTGAAGAAAACGTCTTGGCTTCAGGGTTAGTATGTTTAGCAGAATTTTCCCAGCCATTCTTAGATTTTGCTTGGGTCACCCTCGCGAGAAAGTACACTCCTCAAAGTTAGGACCTGGTTTCTACTAAGAGAGACACCTTTGAGATGAGAATGATGGGCCAAGGAGGTGCTAGCTGCCGAACAATGCTCTTTTTAGTCTTTTGCTCTTTGGCAGCCTGGTTTGAATGGGCCAGATAAGAGATGGAGTCACAGCTGCCTGATATGTTTTCTCGTCTCCCTTGATTCTTCTCTCTCTCTCTCTCATACTGTCTTTTTCATCTTCTTTTCTCTTTCCCTCTCTTTCTCATCATCTTTCTCCCTCTTATAAATCCCCTTTTCTCTCTCCTTCTGTCCCTACCTTTCCTTTCTCTTACTAATTTCTTTTCCTGATAATCCAACCCACAAAAATTGATCCATGTTATATGTAAGACTCCTCTTAAGAGATTTAGGTGTATCTCCTGGGGTAATTAAGAGAAGAGGTTGTGTAATTTTAGGGATAATGAATAAAATTATGTGTGTCATTTGGAGTTTTGTGAAGGTAGATGTAAAGGAGCAAAACGAAATAGACGAAGAGGAAACGGAAGGGAGAGAATCTAGGATTCTATAGATGAGACTCTTCTCAAGTGGCTTATTTCTAGAGCTTCTTCATGCTTCTCTGTCTCTTTCTCTCTGCTTTTTTCTGTTTCACACTTTCTGTTGATCTGTGGTCTCTTTCTCTGACTCTTTTTACACACACACACACACACACACGCACACACACACACTTTTGGGGTGAAACCTCCCTTTGCTCTGGAAGACCTCACGACCGAGTAGTGGTAGCAGCGTATTTGTGTTCCAGAACTGGGCTTAGGCTGTGAGGGACTCCAGAGTGATCATGGTGCTGAAGAGATGGGCTGCAGTCTTGTGCTGTTACCTCTCCTAGCCCCAGGCAGAAGGAGACTCTCCTGCTATCTCTCAGTCTCCTTGTGAGGGGTGAACCAGAGTAAGTGTTTTAGAAAATGTTGGACTTTCACTGTTTAACATCAATCTGATTATCTGTGAGCTTTAGAACTTGTCTGGTATAATCAGATATTTAATTTAATGTGTTTGTTTTGGTTAATTATATTTTCAGTGTTCTGAGGACAAGTATGTGACAAGTGCTTACCAATGGATGGTTCCCTTTCTTCATCGATGTGAGAAACAGTCTCCTGGTGTGGCTAATGAACTATTAAAAGAATATTTAGTGACTTTGGCTAAGGGAGACTTAAAATTTCCCCTGAAGATATTTCAGCATTCCAAACCAGATGTAAGTAGAAACTCTAACTTCTTAAAAATCTCTACACTTTTCCCCTACATAATTGGGTTTTATTTATCAATGTTTTATAAAATGGACTTTGCAAGTAATTTCCCTTTAAACAGAAAAGGAAATGGTTGTCATTTTTTTCTTTAAAAATGTTACAGCAGTTCAGTCCAAACATTTTTTGGAAGTTTATAAAATTATGTTTATTTTGATTGCTTTACTCCAAAATTTGTTGACTCTCTACTACATTTTGGAAACTGGCAATACCAAAAATTCTAATACTTGATAGGTATTGAATTCTTACTATAAATAGGCGCTTTACAAGTGCTAACTCATTTAATCCTACAGCAATCCTATGAGGTAGATATTTTTATTGTATTAATATTGCAGGAAGAGAAGATTGTGATACAGAGTGGTTAGGCAAGCTCAGGATCATACAGTAAGGAGTGGAACTCGGGTTCAAGCATAGATACTCTAATTTCACCGCTGTGTTCTTAACTGTTGTGCTTTACTGTAACACCAAGAAAAGAAGAAAGGATCTACCCTTGAGGACCTTCAAAATATTTATGAAATCTTTAGGATCTCATAGAAGATCTTATAATTCTTAATAAGTCTTATATCTGCTTAAGACTACTGTATTTAGGGGCCGGCCCGGTGGCACAAGCGGTTAAGTGCACGCGCTCTGCTTCTGCGGCCCGGGGTTTGCAGGTTTGGATCCCGGGTGCGCCCATGCACTGCTTGGCGAGCCATGCTGTGGCAGCATCCCATATAAAGTAGAGGAAGATGGGCACAGGTGTTAGCTCAGGGCCAATCTTCCTCAAGGAAAAAAAAAAGGGAGGAGGATTGGCATCCGATGTTAGCTCAGGGCTAGTCCTCCTCACACACACACACAAAAAAAGACTACTATATTTATAGCTCTGTATTTATTTATTTATTTTTTTTTGAGGAAGATCAGCCCTGAGCTAACATTCATGCTAATCTTCCTCTTTTTGCTGAGGAAGACCAGCTCTGAGCTAACATCTATTGCCAATCCTCCTCCTTTTTTTTTTTTTCCCCAAAGCCCCAGTAGATAGTTGTATGTCATAGTTGCACATCCTTCTAGTTGCTGTATGTGGGACGCGGCCTCAGCATGGCCAGAGAAGCAGTGCGTCGGTGCACGCCAGGGATCCGAACCCGGGCCATCAGTAGTGGAGCGCGTGCACTTAACCGCTAAGCCGCAGGGCCGTCCCTATAGCTCTGTATTTCTGTAGGGTTCAGATAGTTGTTTAGATTTGCTGGTGGTAAGTCAGTTGTTAAGTGTAGCGTACTTTTACAAAGTAAATAACCTCTTAATTTAGCTGTAGATCTAACATGCTGTTTCAAGACATAGTGGCTTTCTTTCCATGGGAGGGGACTCAAGCAGGATGGCATAGTCACTCGAGACACTGACTTTGTAGTGAGATTCAAAGCATTAGATTGGGATTCCAGCAGAAGCCATTTAAGGCCTGTTCTAATCCTAAATTCTAATTGAGTGTTGTTCCTTACCCTGGCCTTTGTTAGCAATCTGAAGTCCTCTAAGGTATATGGTCATAGACCAGTGTAATCAAGATAAAAAGGAAACCATTGTTTAGTTAACCTGACACTTTTTTTGGTTTCTGGAATAGTTGTCTGTCAGAAATATATCTGATCATTGGCTATTTAAAATTTTCCATCTTCTCATAAGCAGTTTCCGCTTAGTATTCTGATTTTAAATTTGTGGCGGTTTACTATGAGCCAAGGGTGGGTTGCTTATGACAGCAGAATACTATGTGAGAAACAGGATGGATTGAATATGAATGTTTTATGAGGAAGAAAGAAGTGACTTTAAATTCTTTCTGGTAATCTTGTTTGTGATACTTCTTCCTTACAAAGTATTGTAAATCCTTTGTATGTAGTCAGCTTTTTGTTGTTTTTACTTGGCAATTTAACATGTGCCTTTTGAATAAAACATAGCCATTTGCCTTTCTTGAAATATGTAAACATCAAAGCAGAGAACAATGGTGTTTCTGGGTTCTTCCTTTCCAATCCAGCCTCTATAATTCTATCAATGTTATCTTTCCATGACACAAGTTTGATCATGTCGTGATCTATGGAAAATCTCCAGTGGCTTACCATTGCCTACGGGGTAAACGTTGGGCTCTCTAGAGTGGCTTGGAAGGTTCTTGGCTGTCTGCTTCTCGTTTGCCTCTTCAGCCTCATTTCCCTCCATGAATGCGCTAGTTCATTCACCTCTTCACCCTATTAGGTTCTTTCTTGCCTGTTTGTGTTTTAATAGGTTGCTTCCTTTGTTTGGGATGGTCAGCCCCCCTTTCCTTCATTTGACAAATACCCACCTATCCTTCAAGATCCTGCTGTCTAAGAGTTCCTCTACTGTGAAACCTTCCATGACATACCTGTGCTATGACAGGGCTTCTACCTGCCTCTTCAGTAACCTGTATCACACTGTTTTGTAATTGTTTGCTCATATGTTTGTGTCTCCCTCCCTTTGTTTCCTGTATATGTTCTCTATGTCTCATGTATCTCTGTATTACCAGGGACTAGCACAGTGCCTTGTAGAGAGCAAGTGCTCAGTAAATTTTGGCAGAGCAGATGAATGGATGATTGAAACTGGGTTTCATTATGATGCTTTAGATCACTTGATTACATTGTTTTGCTTTACTAGTATTGTGCTTGGAGCATTGTCTTTATTTTATTTTATTTGACCATTTACATAATGAATATACCTTGGATTTGCCATAAATCATGCACAAAGTATTTTTAATAACATAACAACAGCAATGATTTCTGTATCAGACAGCTTAGGCTAAGTTATGCTGCATTAACAAATGACCTCCTAATCTTAGTAGCTTACAACAGCAAACATTCATTTCTCACCAGTGTCATATAGGCTGTGGTTGGGCTTCTGCTGCCTTCCATGTCTTATTCCTTTCAGGACTGAGGCTGAAAGAGCAGTCCTCTTTTCTAACTTGTGGCACAGGAAAAAGAACGAAGTAGAACCACACAGTGACTCTTAAAGCTTAGCTCAAAGTGTCTCAATTTACTTCTCACATTTCATAGGCCAAAGGAAGTTTGTGGCCAAGCCTGACGTTAACGGAGCAAGGAAGAATAATCCTCTCTTAGGAAAAGGGGAGTAAATAATTGGGAACAATGATACAAATACAAATTTGTCTTTTTAATGATCTCATGTGCTTCAAAGGCTTCCTCTCTTTTAAACATCCTGATTTTAAGCCATTGCTCTTTGCTTGAATCCCCCTTTTGAGACTGAAACTTGTTAAGAAACTTGGGCAAGTCTGGATAGAGATGACTTGGGAATAAAATATTCTGCCTTCTCATATTGTTCTCTGTCTTCTATACTAGTATTTTTTGAATGTATCTGTGCATCATGACGATGTGGATTTAAAAGAAAAATACAGTTTTCTAGGCCCAACTCAGATGTAACGGATTAGAATTTGGGGGGTAGGCTTCTGGAGTATGCATTTGACAGTTTATCCAGTGATTCTGATGGAAAGTCAGTTATGTGTGTTGCAAATAATTCCCAGTCTTGCTTTGCTATTCCCACTGTTCTCTTAGTCGTGAAGATCACTTTAATCTGATCAGGGCTTGAGCTGTTTCACGTTTCAAAAAGACTGTTTCCAGTTCTCCCATATTCCTAGGGTGTGGTCCTTCAGGGGTCTGAATTGGAAACATTGGATACTTAGTAGGCCCTTCTCCTTGTAGATCCTTGACTATAATGGGATAAATGGGAACATCTACTTAACACTTTACGCTCTTGACTGCAATTTCCTGCTTGCCTACTTTTGGCCCACACTCCTTAGGAAATTGAAACATGCCTCTGGAATTGTGCTGTTCAGTATGGTAGCTGCTAGCCACATGTGGCTATATAAATTAAAATATAATAAAATTAAAAATTCAGTTACCCAGTCTAACTAGTTTTCTATGTTATTCCCAGTATTTTGCAGTTAAAAACAGTGCTACAATGAATAACCTTGTTCATATTTGTTTTTGTGTTATTGGTATATCTTCAAGGTATATTCCTACAAGGGATTTCCTGGGTCTAAAGGCAGGGTTGTGTTGGTATTGCCAGATTTCTTTTCACAGGAGTTGTTCCAGTTTACCTTTCCACCAGCATTGTATGAGCCTACCTGTTTCTCCACAACTTTGCAAACAGAATTTGTTGTCATATTTAAAATTTTGCCAGTGTGATAGGTGAAAAATGGTATTTCAGTTTGTTTTAATTTACACTTCTCTAATTATGAGTGAATTTGAACATTTTCTCATATATTTGAGAGGCATTATCTTTTTTGTGAATTGTCTATTCCTGCCTTGTTTCCATTTTCACTTGGATTTTTGTTCCTTTGTGCCTTAATTTTTGGAAATTCGTATATGTTAGTGTAATTAGCCCTTTTTCTGTGGTATATATGGTGAATATTTCTCCCAGTTGGTAGGTTGTCTTTTGATTTTGTTTCTGGTGTATTGTGTCAGGCAAAATTTCTTACATTTTGTTTTTGTGTGGTCAAGTTAATCAATCTTTTTTTTTTTTTTTATTGCTTGCATATTTTGAGCCATGGTGAGGAAGCCTTTTCTTACTACAAGGTTAAAAAAGAAATCACTCATGGTTTCTTCTAGTACTTGCATGGTTTTATTTTTGTGTTTAGATCCCTAACCTATTTGGAGTTTCTTCTTTTACATGGTGTGAGATATGGATCTAAATTTATGATTTCCCAAATGGCTACTTGTTGTCCCAGTACCGTTTATTAAGAAATTTATCTTTACCTGAGTGATCTGGGATGCCACCTTTGTCATATAGCAAATTTCCATTTGTTTTGGGTCTAATTCTAGAGTTTCTGTATTGTATTACTGGTCTGTTTGTCTGTCCATGCACTAGTATCACACTGTTTTAATTATAGAGATTTTATCGTGTGTTTTTAAAGTCTGGTAAGGGTAGTATTCTGTTGTGTTTTTTTTTCCCCAGTTTTTTTTTTTTTTCTGGCTCTTCTTGTATGTTTGTTTTTCTTTCAGAACTTGAGTATAATGTTTAGCTACCCTCTTCAAGAATAGAGATATCATTCTATTTGTTCATATCTTTCTCACTGTATTTCAGGAGTGTTTAAAATTTTTCCTCATATAGGTGTTGTACATTTCTTGTTGAATTTATTCCTAAGCATTTAATTTTCTTTGTTTATATCATAAATGGAGATTTCTTTACCCTCATTTCCTCTAATTACTCTGTTTACTGTTTGTGTATATGAAAGCTGTTGCTTTTGTATAATTTTGTATTCTGCTACTTCACTAATTTCTTGATTCTCTGGGGTTTTCTGTGCATCCTATCTTATCATCTGTTGTTCTTTTTCTAGATGTCTATAGTGCATAATTTTAAGACTTTTTTTTTTTTTAATTATGACTTTCTTATGTTTTACCTTGATATGCAATATGGAAGATAATCTGCTGCTCATAGTGGGAGGACTTATTTCATTGGCTTCTTGGAAAGTCCTAGATGGGCTCTCTTCTCTTAGCTTGAGATGAGGTAAATGATGGTTTAGTAGTCACCACTGGGATATTAGGACAGGAATGATGGAAATAAGAAGTGTGTCTTACACTATATGAAGTTAAACATCTTGTAGAGAGTCTAACAGGGCAAGAATGAAAAGTGTCTTAAAGATTTGATTGTTATGATTCATGTACACAATACGTTATATTAAGAAAGATATGCTGAGTGGCATAGGAAGAGAACAAAAAGGTACCATAGGAATGCAGAGAGGAAAAAGGACCTATGTATGAGAGTAGTGTGAGGATTTATTCATTGGACCAGCATTTATTGAGCATATGCAAGAGACTATAGAAATCTGGGAAAGTCCAACTGAAGTCAAAGCCAAGTGGAGATAAAACTGGATTATTAGGGAGGTTTTAGATAGGGCAAGAGTAATTTCCTCAAGAAGACTTTCTAGGTGGGAGTAGAATAAGACAAGGAGACACAATCAAACTAATACATTTTTAGATAAAGTCAAGTTATTTAACTTGAATTAACTAAAACTTTGTGTAAAAAGGTAGTGGTTTATAGGACCAGAAAAGTGGATTGGCACAAGGCCATGAAGGAGCTTGGGTGGAAGGCAAAAAGTTTATTCTTTACCTTTCACATTGAAGGACGGCTAAAGGGTTTTCATCAGAAGGTTTTGAACATATGTGATCAAATATGGACTCGAGAACATTTAACTTGCAAGTGACACTTTAATGTCTCAGGGAGGGAAAGACAGGAAGCAGGAAGAACAAGGAAAACATCAGGGACTTTGGCTTCTGTTTCAGCTGGTTTCCCAAATTGTTCCCTGACTGAAACCGGTTTCAGTTTTTTCATCTTCCTCATATGCTTTCTTACCATATACGAGTTGTTTGTTACCATGTTTTCTCGGTCTCTTCCATTCTTCCTATATGTGCAGTTCTTCTGCAGGGTTGTGCGAGCCCGTGTTGCTTAGCCTACGCTCTGGAGCTGGTTGCCTGCATTTGAATCCTGGCTGGACCATGACCAGCTCTGTGCCTTGAGCAAGTTGTTTGTCCTCTCAGTGCCTCAGTTCCCCCTTTTTGTAAAATAGAAATAGTGCTAGTACTAACCTTACAGGGTTTAGGTCACTTTCTATATAGGATACCCTGTTTCCCATTGCAAATCAGATTCCCATTTTTTGAGCATTTTCTGGGATATAAAAATAACAAATTTGTGTCTTATATTTATTAATTCATAAATCCTCAAAATGGAATTTATGAATTAATGAATTAATGCGTGTAAAGCACTTAGGAACAGTACCTGGCACACAATAAGAAATCAGGAAAAGTTAGCTGTTTTTATTAATTTTTAATAGTCCTTTTGTTGTGCCGGGTTGTCCCTATTTCACCAGTTTGTCTCTGCAACCTTGGGTAACTCTTTGTCAAATGTTGATGTCAAATTAATGATATATATTTTTATTAATACCTTGAAGAAATGTATATAAATCCTTTAACCCAGCTACTTTAGGAAACTTTATTTCCATGGTAACCTTGAATGTTTCTTCTTTCCATCCATTGATATGATTTTTCTACTGAGAAAATGCCTTTGTTCGGCAACTTCTCTTCATGACTTTCCTATCTGTTTTGTGAGTTTCTACTAAAATGTTGAAAACCAATAGATCTTTATTATGGAAATTATCTTCAACTTATTTTGTTGTTGAAAAGGGCTCTAAGAAAATAGTTTGGAACTTCCATTTTCATTTCTATACTGGTAATAATACAAGCATTCTACATGTATTAATTTATTTAATGCTGACAACAATGCTATTAGCAAGATGTTAATATCCAGTTTTATAGATGAGAAAAATAAGACACAAATTTGTTATTTTTATATCCCAGAAAATGCTCAAAAAATGGGAATCTCATTTGCAGTGGGAAACAGTGTATCCTATATAGAAGGTGACCTAAAGTAACCATCTTTCTGCATCAGAAATATGGTGTATGTTCTGTGATTTGAATATTACTGTATTACAATGCAACTTCTTTTGAATAGAATGTCAATACTGTTTAGTTAAATGACTAATATATAATGCATATTGAAAAATAGTAAGTTCAAACATCTCTGAACGTTACTTAAGGAATTTTATATGTTTTTGTAATTGAAAAACATAAAATTTGTTGTTTTTAATGAATTGCCTTTTTAATTCACTGTGTTTCTTCTATATACTTTATCTTGAATGGGTCATAAATTGAAGAATCTGTTTTCAGCAGATGCAGAGCTTATGGGTACAAATTATCTTTTCTAGCTGATTCTGTAATTAAAATATGATTTCATTTAGAATTATTAAAGATCCCAAAAGTCTGTAAGTGAAAGAAAAATCAAGATTTGTTCCTGCAGCTGATTAATTGCATTGTTTAATATTCTATTGACAGTGGTGCTGGGATATGGAAAAACTGACTGTAAATCTATTGACATTTAGTACAGCATGCTTTATTTTCTCTAGCTGCAGCAAAAAATTATTCCTGATCAGGACCAACTGATGGCAGTAGCACTAGAGTGCATCTATACCTGTGAGCGAACTGACCAGCTCTCTCTTTGCTATGACATATTAGAATGTCTGCCACAAAGAGGATACGGGTAAGAATCCACCGTGTGCCAGTCTTACTGTTGTGTCTTTATTCTAACAGTGAAAATGAGAACGTTGCTTCCGTGAGTGTTCATTATAGAGAATTCTTGGAATATATATAATAATCTTGGAAAAAATATAAAGAAGAAATTGAAATCATCTGCAAACCTGTTGCCTAGAGATAAACTTTTGTTTTTCTCACAGTATACAGGAAGTCACTATACTTTTGTCAGTCTTGATAATTAATTATCAATTAAAAAACAAAAATACCATCACAACAGCAAAAAATATTTTTTTAAGTGAATAGACAGTGATATCTCTTCAAGTCATGTTTCTAATTAAGCGTTTTTCATATTTATGCACTAGTTGTATTTCTTCTATGAATTGTTCTTGGCCCTTACCTTTAGTAATCCTTTTAAGTAGTAATGTATTGATATAAGTCATTTATTATTTTTTTCTTTCAGTTTTATTGAGATACTATTAACATGACATACTGTATAAGTTTAAGGTGTATACAATAATGACTTTACTTACATATATTCTGAAGTGATTACTGTGATAAGTTTAGTTAACATCCATTATCTCATACAGATCCCAAAAAAAGAAAAAAAAAGTTTTTCCCTTGTAATGAGAACTTTTAGGATTTACTCTTCCTCAACTTTCAAATATAACATACAGCAGTTTTTAACTATAGTCATCATGTTATACATTACATCCCTAGTCCTTATTTATCTTATAATTGGAAGTTTGTATCTTTTGACCACCTACCTCCAGTTCCTCCTCTCCCTAACCGCTGCATCTAGTAACCACAAATCTAATCTTTTTTTCTGTGAGTTTGGTGTTTTGTTTTTTTTAAATTAGATTCCACATATAAGTGAGATCATACAGTATTTGTCTTTCTCTGTCTGACTTATTTCACTTAGCATAATGCCCTCACGGTCCATCCATGTTGTTGTAAATGGCAGGATTTTCTTCTTTTTTTATGGCTGAATAGTGTTCCATATACATAACATATATTCCATAATAGTATTCCATATACATACATATACGTATATATATACATATATATACACACACACATATATATACATATACCACATTTTCTTTGTCCATTCATCTGTTGGTGGACACTTAGGTTGTTTCTATGTCTTGGCTGTTGTAAATAATGCTACAGTGAACATGGAGGTGCAGATATCTTTTCAAGTTAGTGATTTATTTTCTTTGGATGTATAACCGGAAGTGGAATTGCTGGATCATATAGTAGTTCTATTTCTAACTTTTTGAGGAATGAATATACATAATTCTTAACTAGGCTTGTGTTTAAATAGAAATTTATATAACATTCTATTGGATCATTTAGTTGTATGCAAATCGGATTTGTATTTTCTCTTTGGAAGTCAGGCAACAAGCGTTCCTTTAATCACTCTTTTAAAATCTATTGTATATTATAAATTTTACATCTGGAGAAGTTAATAATATCACATGAAAGAGCACTGAACGTAAAAGAAGTGGACGTGTTTCTAAGCTTGTGTGATTTCAGCCGAGTCACTTAACTTCTCTGGTCATTAGTTTCCTTATTTGAAAATCAGATATTTAGACAAGAAGTCCTCCTCGTGCTTTTTCTTTTTCTCTTTGCTGTTTCTTTTTCTCTTCTCCTTTTCTTCTGTTCTCCCTCTCTTTTCTTTTCAAGGAAATTTTTATTTTTTGTGAAATGAATGATAGAAGTCACCAGTTTTGCAACCCACTGTGAAATAATTGTTCATGCAGTCATTAGTGGTACTAGAAGCAGGTTAAAGATTGATGGGAGAAGGAGATTTGCATGGTACATAGTATTACCCCAGCAACTATTTTTTATTTTTTTGTAATTTCAAAGGGGAAATTTACCTTTATAAAGTTGAAGTCTGACTGCCATCACCTTTAATCAAGTTATCAAATATGGCATCACTTGTAGTCAGACAGCCTGGCATTATGTGCCTCCTGGTGAAATGCAGTATGAAGTAAAATTGTTTATGTTGAATCTAATCAATCCTTTTAGCCGAACTTTTAGTTTACACTAAATGCAGGGAATAGCAGAACAAGTTAAATAACAGCATGAAGAAAAAAACCAGATGAATACAGAATGTGAGATATTCTATAAGTCAACTGGTCTTTTCACTTTGAAAAGTCAGTATCATGGAGAAAATAAATTGGTGGGGTTGGGGAGGTGCTGTTTTAAAATCATGGAGTCCAAAGGGACATAATCCCCTTCTAGTTTTTAACTACAAAATAATGTGTGAACTAGTTGAAATTTAGGGAATCGCGGAAGACTTGTAATAGATAAACAGCTGTTGGCTGCCCCACCTTCCCCATCCCTGGATACTTGTCTTCTAAAAGCCAAACAGTCACTATAGATAATGTTTTTCTTCTTCGCTTTACCTGCCTCCTTTAAAATATTATGCTCCTATTGCTATTTATTGATTTTGCAATTTTAGATGATTATTGACTTCCTTTTATGGAAGTCTACCCTTCTCCCATATCTACTTCTGCTACCATTTTTTTGGGTAGTTAAAGCAGTATTTCTATCACTATGATTATGTAAATATTATTTACACAGAACTTGGTATGATTATATTTCCTTTTTATACAACTTTTTTTTTCTAGATGGGATAATTTCCTTTTTTGTTGTTTTCTTTGTTTCCATTTATCTCCCTCACTCTCCTGACAGAAGTGTAGAACTTCTTTCCTTGGTCAGAGATATCTAATAATCTCTTCTTTCCCTTTTCACTTCTTCTCTCCCTCTCTTCCTTTTGAAATATCCTTCTTGGAATTGTTTTTTCTTTAGCTTCAGTATGAATTAACTGTTCTCTATTCTGCTGCACAGCTGTCATCCTGTGACTTGTGTTTGCCTCTCTCTTGGGCTGCAGTTGCATTTCTGGGATTTCTTAGCTTCTCCTTTCTTTACTTATTGCCTCATTTTGATTTCCTCATTTCAACACAATCTTGAATAGCTTCCTATCAAAGATTGCATGGAAGGCGTGTTTATTTAAGACTCTCACATGTCAGAAAAATATCGTAGTTGCACCATTACGCTTGATAGAAGGCTTGGCTGTATGTTGATTTCTAGGTTTATAATCCTTTTCCTTGTGAATTTTGAAGGCATTACTCTTGTCTTCTCCTTCCAGTATCTTTGAGAAGTCCAATGCCATTTTGAATCACTACTTTATATGTGGCTTTTTTTTTTTTTTCCTTTTTGGAATATTTCAGACCTTCTCTTCTTCTCTAATGTTTTGAAATATCATAAGGATGTGTTTTATTGTGAATCTAAATTCACTCTGTTGTTTATTTAAATAGTGTGTTCCAATCTGGAAACTCACGTCCTTGGGACCTTTGGAAAATTTTTTAATATTTTTTCCTTGATAAGTTTCCTTGATCAGTTTATTTGCACTTTCCTCTTTTTTTAAAGTTTGTTTTTCTTCCTTTTTTATTTCTTTGCTGCCCTTTTAATTTGAAACCGGCAAACAGTTAGCCATTGATGATTAAGCAGCTAGTAAGTATTGGGGATCAGAATTGGCCACCTCAAAATATGTCTCTGCCTGAATGACACTTTGGCCCCCACCCCCACTAACTGACCAAAGGAGTTTGGGATGGGAGGCCTGCCCCTGCCCCCAGGACAGGCCATTACCATAGACATCTCCGGGTATCTGGGTGGGTCTGTGCTAAGCCCATTCTTAGTTCTGCTTGCCCTTTTTAAGAGATATTTACATTTGTAGAGAAGATCTCCATTTGTAAAGGTATCTTCTTCCCTGTACCAGGAAGAAGAGGGGGATGGCCTTACCTAGAAATTTATTAGAACAGAAGGCAAGGACTTAAATCTGAATGATAAACTTACCCATTGTTAACTGTGCTGTTTAGGCAACAGGCTACCTGACTCCCACTAGGTTCCTATAGGTAACGTACCCCTGGAGCTGGGGTCGCCATGGTAATGGGTGTTTGAGCTATTTTTTTCAGGAACTGAACCCCTTGTCCACTTCAGGCTGGATTGAGACCACCAACCCATCAACTGGGCCCACGCAGACATGTGTCCCATAAGTGACCTTTTGATAGCAAGAGGTTGGAACTCCACCCTCAGGGCACGCTAATGCCGCCATTCTGTGAACATGCCTCTTAGGAAGAGGCATGAAGCCTGACTATGCTTGCACAGATCATCAGTTAGCTCATCTCTCCTCACCTCCGATCGTTTCAGACCAGCCGCCTTGCCCCCTTCCCCATAAATATCCCTGAGTCTCTATTTTTGGGGAAGTGTATTTGAGATTCAGTCTCCCGTTTCCACACTTGGCTGCCTTGTGGTTAATATACCCTCTCTCTGCAGTCTTGTTGTCTTGGTGATTGGCTTTCTGGGCGGCAGGCAAAAACGGACCTGGTGCGGTAACAAATTCTTTTTTCCATGTTTTAACCTTTTCTTAAATGATCTAGACGATTTCTTCAGTTTTATCTCCTAATCCATCTTTTGAAGTTTAGAATTTATTTTGGCTTTCTTATTTGAGTTTCAAAAACCTTTTCTTTTCCTCTTTAAAACAAAGTAGTAATCTAGTCTTATTTTGCAGGTGCATAAATACCCTGATACTCCGTGCATTACCCTCACCCCCACCATGATTTCTGATTTCTCATATTCTGTTTGTTTGCATCTCTGCCTTTACTGTTAGGGACTTTCTTCCATGTGTAATGATTCTTGACCATTAATTTATATCTAAGACACTGAAAGCTGATTGGAAGTCTTGTGACAAGCTGAAGCCTTTCATTATGGGAGTGCTTGGGAAATTGCTTCATATGTGAGCAGCTGGATTGTCAGTCTTGTTTCAATTTTGATTTTGGGGGGTAGTATAATCTTAGATTTTGTTATGTTACGGAAATATTACGTAGTTTGTAGATTCTGACCATTCATGTCTCCTCATCAAGGGGCTAAGTACTGACCACCAAGAGGGAATCAAAGCAATTGCCTTGTTAATGGTAAAGCTAAATGGCGACTGTAGTAGTGCTTAATACTGGCGGTCCTCACTCTAGGTTTAGGGAGTCTTCATGTAGGGGAAGGTACATCACAGAGTTGACTCAGCATCTCTTTATTACCCAAACCTGTACAGGTATAACCTCAGGCTACCTCACATCCATAGTAAAGAGGATCAGGATACAGCAAGTGTGCCTCTGGGACCCGTGGGCCTCTGAGAGCCATGGGCCTTCAGTAGGCTGCAAAAGGCCAGTAAAGTGGATTGTATTAACAGATTTATAACAAAATCTCGTTACTTGTCATTTAAAAACCTCAACCCAGTGGACATCAGGGTGTCAGTAGTCAAATTGCTCTTCCCAGAGGCTGACAAGAGATGTAGAGTCCTCTCCTTAACATCTACCTCAGAGAGAAGTGGTGGGGGTTTGTTCCTTACATGGCCTCTCTGTCAGCTTGAGGCCTTCTTTGTTGTCTCTGAATCAGCTAGGTAAAATCATTGACTTGCAACTGATGTAATTTTTAAAAATAAATGTATTAGACTTTGTTTTTCAGTAAGATCAAATAAGCATAAATATCAATTAGAGCTTATCTTATTAATTTTTAAACAGTAATTTGCCTACCATGAGGAGATAGTCATGCTATCAACACAGTGATATGATCAAAAGAACGTTTTGTATGTAGGCATTACAGTTAGGGAATTAGTCTATTTATTTTCAAAGAGTGTGTAGGCTAAGAAATGTGTCTTTTGTGTATGTGTGGCTGAAAGCTTTTTTGATTTCAGATTAATGATTTCTAATCTATCAGATTTTTTTTGTAAACACAAAAAATAGCTTGATACTCTTTTTGTTCTATTTATTTCTTGATGATTGTATTGCACAATTATAATTATCTAAATAATTTGTAGTGATAAATTAGCCTAGTATTAAAATATAGGGCTTCAGAATATTTTCTCTGGTTCTCTTTGTTCTTCACGCTAAGTTTGTCAGTTTATATTCTCCCAGTAATTAGTTGTTTATTTTTAGTGGTTACATGGTTGTTATTTACCAAATGGTAAACTGTATATTTTTTCTCCATTTCGGAAATGAACTACTATTTATTTAATCTAATTAAATTTTGTGCACTTACCTAGGTAGCATATTCTATCTGGCTAAAAAAAAATCTTTAGTCATTATGTTTGTGAATGTCTATTCACAAAGGAAGAACAATGTATTCTTGAAAATCAATGACAAATGTTTATTGTAGAGCTACAGAATGATAATTTAAAAAATATTATTCCTGAATGAGTATGTTAGTGGAAGTTATCTCTGACAAATGGTCTTTTGAAGGACATTAAGTGGAATATACCCTAATTTATCACTCTAGTCCAAGGCCTAAAACTTGGTTTAGGAGGATAGTGTAATCTTTGTAAATTGCACTGAATACTTGCCAAATAGATTGATAGTTTTAAAAATGTTCAGGTCAGGTCCTTTTTAATTTTCCAAGTCCTGACAAAGATTTTTATTTGGTCTTTTTATTAATAAAACCCTAAGATCTTGCTAGAATTCAGTTGGATCATTGGTTGGAAGACACCTGAGAGTATCAGGTGCAGTGGCTCTTGGTTGAGAGGGTTTCCTCCAAGGTTGGGACACAGAGCTGTATAGGGTGGAAGAGGACTTTTATAGCACTTGGTAAGCTTTTCTGCCAAATCCCTGCATTCACTAGTATATGCCATACTAAATCTACCCTACCAGCTACACTTTTATTAGTTTATGATCTTTTTCATGATGATGTTTCTCTTAGTCCCCTGTCTACTTGCTTTCTCAGAAAGAGTGCTTTTTCTCCGGTACCCACTAGGGATTATATATATGATGGCTGTACTTCTCCCTTGTTATTTAATATTGCAGTGGATGCAGAGGAGGTGATGATATGGAAGAAGTCTCCTGAGTATATAGAATCCTAAAGGAAACTTCTAGGGGATCACAAGTGGTGTAGACAGGCCTAGGAGAAAGCCAACATGCAGGGCCATGCTTCCTAATCTGTTTTATTGGTTGAAAGAACAGAAATGAATGATGGTTTTATCCTTTACCCCTTTTTTTAAAAAAAGACAATTGATTTATAATTCTTTTTTGCCTTCTAGCAAAAGTGAACTAAAAGTTCTTTAGAGAATAATTGCCCATATCTCACTAATCTGTAGTAGAGAATATTATTCTCTTCCAGGATTTTTTATCTTAATCTCTTGAGTCATGAAAGATGCTGAATGAGTTTAGAAGATAATACTGAAATTTTACCTGGACAGTGTAATATTGTTATATATTAAGAACAAGGAACATCATTTCTTTTTTTTCACTTAAGTGAGTTTGGTATTTTACGTAAAAAGCTGCTATTAAAACTTACTTTTAATTTTTTTCTCTTAATCCTGTAGTCATAAGACAGAGGTAACCACAGCTCTTCATGACATGGTAGACCAACTGGAACAAATTCTCAGGTGAGAAAAATGACAATCTGTGGGCTCTACGCTGATTTAAGGGGTGCTGTCCAGGAAATATTACCTTAAATATGTCTAGTAGTTATTTCCAGTTTGACCTCATATTTGTTTGACTCTCTTGGGAGTGAATTTTCTTAATAATGAATGTACTACTAGTTTATTTTAGCAGAATATTGGAATAATAAGAACAGGGACTTTGAAGACTAGTAGATCTGTGTTCAGATTTAGGTGTTGCTACTTACTAGCTGTGTGGTGTTTGAGCCTAGGATTTTCTTATCTATAATATCTGACTCATCAGATTGCGGAATTAATATTAGATTAAGCATTTAAGTGCCTCACACATAGTATGTAAATGAGAAATATTGGTTCCTACAGCGGTTATTGCATCTATCAGCAAACAATGTTTATTATACTCCTAACTTTTCTTTTTGGGGCATAATACATTTGATTGAATATCTGGATTATGTCAGTTACTCTGTAGTAACAGTCTTTACTGTCAAAATGAAACATTAAACTGTCTCTTTTGGAGACCAAAATTTCCTTATTTGCCGTTTAGGAAGTGTAGTATTGTTTACCAGTATTTATTTTTATATCTGTCTGTAAATGTGCTTGCGAGTAATTTTTAAACATTTGTGTTAAAAATAAAATTTTAGGAATGATAAATTTTGTCTTTCCCATATATAATTATAGAAACTATTGGTAATAATATCACTTTATAGTGATAATATATATAGTAAAGTATAATAATTTGAATCTACTAATAAGAAATTTTATTCATTCAAATTAGGGGACTTTAGTATAAAAATATTTCAAGTTGTATTTAAGGAACAGAATGTTTTTGTGGATCATAATATGTGAGTTTAATGAAGAATTAACTGTTTAGTTTCCTAAAAACATGTATTTATTATTACTTAGCCTGATTCTTGTTACTCTATGTTCTGAAAGTTTCGTTTTTTTTCCTTGAAAAATGTTTAATAAATCAAGCTGTTTCTTTTATAGGTTGGCTTGTACCTCTCCTCCCCCCCAACGTTTCTGAAAATTGAGCATAGTTTGACTGAAGTTCAGTGGGTTAAGTCAGTATAGATTCATTTCTTACAAATCTGTGTGGTTACCTTTGTTTCTGTAATGAAATTGCAAAGAGCTATCTCAAAGAGATACAGTAAAATAAACATAATTTATTTCACTGTATGTTTCTGGGTGTAACCATGGGTGGTCCTGATAGTCACATTATGCTCTCCACACCTCCAGGAAACAGTAACACCGTGTAGGTTTCTGGGTGACACCCAGATCCTTCACTGTACAGCTTAGTTTACTGACCTTTTAAAGTAAGAAATTTTTATTCCTGTTCCACCTCATAGCCATGAATAGTTGATAAATGTTTTAGTGCACATAGTGTCAGGTGACATGACCCGTGAACCTATCTTTATGAAGAGTTATTGAATTTTATCCAGCGTTTAATTAATTAGTTTGTTTATTTTTGTGAGGGAGGTCAGCCCTGAGCTAACATCCATGCCCGGCCCTAAGCTAACATCTGTTGCCAGTCCTCCTCCTTTTTTTCCCTTTTTCTCCCCAAATCTCCAGTAGATAGTTGTATGTCATAGTTGCACATCCTTCTAGTTCCTGTATGTGGGCTGCTGCCTCAGCATGGTGCGTCAGTGTGCACCTGGGATCCGAACCCGGGCCGCCAGTAGCAGAGCACACGCACTTAACTGCAAAGCCACAGGGCCGGCCCCTATCCAGCCTTTCTATATGCCCAGTAGTAGTTAATTCATGAAGGTGAGATTTGGTGAGGCAGACTAGGTGTATAGATGCTGATGATTATGGAATGGACTATCTCAAGAAGATTCATATGAGACCAAGATAATTTGTGGCATATTTTGTATTTTTATAGAATGGATTCTTGAGGGAGATTGAGCCTTATGATGTTTCTGTGGTTCTCCAAATCGAAAATTCTTTGCTTATTACTTTTCTAGCAGCCTTGCTTATAACAAAATACTCAATAGGATTGTTAAGAGTTAAAGCTGGGTATTGAAATGATAGATTTGGTTTGTTTTACTGACTCAATGCTTTTAGAGTACCGGAAAATTGTAAAAAAGATTTTCAGATAAAGATACCGTACTTTTTTTTATTTTAATGTTACTTATTCCAAGTATATTGTAATAAGAGTCAGTGGGGGAAATAAGATTTGATATATAATTACAAACTTTTTTTTGCTGAGAGTTAATGTAATATGTAAAATTGGGTTATTCTATGTGCTGCTTTTTTTTTTTTTAATACTAAACACTGAAGTGCTACTTGTATGTTTAAGATTCTTAGACTTTTTTTGTTTAGTATCAAGACTTTGAAAAATTCTTCCTTCATTTGTAGTGTGTCAGAGCTTTTGGAGAAACATGGACTTGAGAAACCGATTTCATTCGTTAAAAACACTCAGTCTAGCTCAGAAGAGGCACGCAAGCTGATGGTTAGATTGACTAGGCACACCGGTCGGAAGTGAGTAATAAACAAAATTAATTGATACTTGTATACGATTAAATATAAGTACTGCTCTTTCTCTTTTTTTGACTTCGTTGAGTTTATAATTGATCAACAATAAATTGCACATATTTAAAGTGTAGAATTTGATGTTTTGATATATGTGTATACCCATGAAACCATCACTACAATTAAGATAATGAATACATCCATCACCCCTAACAGGTTTCTCTTGCCCCTTTATAATCTCCTCCCTCCTGCTTCTCCCCATCACACCCCCACCCCCTCCCGGGGCTACCGCTGGTCTATTTTCTGTCCCTAAATATTACTTTTGCATTTCCTAGAATTGTATGTAAAAAGAATCATAAGTATACACCTTTTGTTTTCAATTTGTTTTGGCTTCTTTCATTTAGCATAATTATTTTTTGGTTCATCTATGTTATGTTGTGGATCAACAGTTTATTT